ATCTTAAAACTTTAATCGATAGTAAGATTTTAGCTCTCAGACCCTAGACTCTTGCAGCTAGTGACATTACTCCACTTTCTAGTGCTGCCTGAATTCCTCTCTTATCCACTAACAAGTGGTCATCTAACCTCTGTTTGAATATTTACAGTGATAAGGAGTTCATTACCTTACAAAACATCTCACTCTATATTTGTACAGTTTGGTTAGCTAGAAAGTTCCTCCTCACATTGACACAAACTCAGTTTTTCCGTACCATTGACATATGTAGTCCTAGAGAGACTTTTGTCCCTACCCAAAATAGGCTTGTATGACCTCTTCCATATAGCAACCTTCTTGAAGGCAATTATCATGGGGTTTTCGATATATCCTCTAGGCTAAACATCAGAAGTTTCTTCAGTGGCCCTTTATGTGACATGGCTTTAAGAAGTTCATTGACATCTTGTTTATTCTTAAATTTTCTGGTAGCTAAGCCAAGCTTATTTCCACATGCATAAAAGATGAATGTGTGGTAAGACCTATGGTCCTGAACTGGTAAATGAATTAACATATGTGTAAGTATTTTTACAACTGAAAACACTTTGTAAACATAAGATACTATTAAAAGCTATCTACTTCATAGAAGGCAACTTGACACAGCATATTAGAAACTTGCAACTCAAAATATGGTCTAAGGGTACACCCGGCATCACCTGGAAACTTGCGAGAAACAATTTCAGACCCACCTTATATCCATTAAATCCCACCTGCATTTTAGCATTTTAACAACATCTCCAAGTGTATCACATGCACATTAAAGTCTGAGGAGCTCTGTAAACTTAAAAATGGGAAAACGCTTTCACTAAGCAATTCTTGTTTTAGGTATTTATCCTGAGAAAATGATTAGGCTAAGTACACAGCATTTTTATAACAACAAAAGTTTACAATGAACTGAAAGGTCCACTAACAGAAAATTGACCAAAGTGCTTTATAGTTCATCTATGGATACACCATTTGCCAGCCAGAGCTAACTCGACAAAGCAAGCTGGTTCTTAGCTGGCGCTGGCGCCCACAAGATGCCTGCTCCTCAGCTAATGCATCTACTGTGAACATAGATGTATGTTTAGTTGACACAAAAGGGCAGTAATATCCCCACATCAGTTATCCCTGGAGGAGAACTGGGACATCTGCCTCTGTCATCTTTCAAGGGTTCAGCCAGTTTAAAAGTTTGCTTCTGGCCCTGCCTGCCGCACCTCTCCTTTCTCCTGTATCTCCAGGCGAAGCTGCACGCCCGGCTTGGAGCCCTACCTGTGCTCCTCCTCCTCCTACCGCAAGACGTTCGTGGACGGCTCCCGCCTGTCCGCGCGCCTCTCCGGGGCCGGCGGCTTCCGCTCGCAGTCGCTGTCCCGCTGCAATGTGGCCTCCTCAACCGCCTGCTCTTCGGCCTCGTCGCTCGGCCTCAGCCTGGCCTATGGCCGGCCACCGGCGTCCGACGGGCTGGACCTGAGCCAGGCGGCGACGCGCACCAACAAGGAGCAGCTGCAGAGACTCAATGACCACTTCGCGGTGTTCATCGAGAAGGTGCAGCTGCTGGAGACTCAGAACCTCGCGCTGCAGGCCAAGCTGGCGGCGCTGAGGCAGCGCCACGTCGAGCCGTCGCGCGTCGGCGAGTTCTTCCAGCGCGAGCCACGCGACCTGCGCGCGCACCTGGAGGAGGAGAGCTCCGCGCGCGCTCAGGCCCTGCTGGAGCGCAACGGGCGGCCTAGGAGGTGCAGAGGCCGCGGGCACGCTGCAAGGAGGGGAGCCTCGGACGCAAACGTGCCGAGTGGGCCCCGAAGGTGCAGCAGCGCGACGTGGACGATGCCACGCTGGCCCGCCTGGACCTGGAGAAGAAGGTGGAGTCGCTGCTGAACGAGCTGACCTTCGTGCGCCAGGTGCACGACGAGGAGGTAGCCGAGCTGCTGGCCACGCTGCAGGCGTCGGCACAGGCCACGGCCGAGGTGGATGTGGCTGTGGCTAAACCAGACCTGAGCTCGTCGCTGAGGGAGATCCGCACCCAGTATGAGTCCCTGGCTGCTAAGAACCTGCAGTCCGCAGAGGAATGGTACAAGTCCAAGTTCGCCAACCTGAACGAGCAGGCTGCACGCAGCACCGAGGCCATCCGAGCCAGCCGCCAGGAGATCCACGAGTACCGGCGCCAGCTGCAGGTGTGCACTATCGAGGTCAACGGCCTGCGCGGGGCCGAGTCCTTGGAGAGGCAGATCCTGCAGCTGGAGGAGCGGCACAATGCCGAGGTGGCTGGCTACCAGGATAGCATTGGGCAGCTAGAGAATGATCTGAGGAACACCGAGAGTGAGATGGCACGCCACCTTCGGGAATATCAGGACTTGCTCAGTGTCAAAATGGCTCTTGACATTGAGATAGCAGCTTACAGGAAACTGCTGGAAGGCGAAGAGACACGTTTTAGCACCAGTGGGTTAAGCATTTTGGGACTGAATCACTTCCCAATCTGAGTTATCTGCTCGCATCTAGAATCCTCAGTTCTAACAGCCTTCAAAATCTCATCCACTGGCCTATCACTTAAGAAAGGAGGAGAAGGCATCTAAGGTAGCCGCTAAGAAGACCTCCCAGATAGGGGAAAGTTTTGAATAAATATTACAAGAGACAGTAATATCTACTAAGAAAACCGAGAAATCAAATATAGAAGAAACCACCATTTCAAGCCAAAAATTATAATTTCATTGCTTTGAAAGAGTTAATGCTTAAGAGGGAATGATATGCATTTGACTTGTTAAACAGCCTGTTCCTGAAACATAACACCTGCCACACCACTATGAAATG